TTTCACTATGGTGCCCACCAAGCAACGAGACAAATCGTGAACACCACCTGTCCTCTTTGATGACTCTCCGCATGCCCACTGGGCTCCACCAAAGAGAAGCCACATTTCTTCATCACTTATGGCTAGGAGTGGCATTTAAGAAATCTTATTCTTTTGTCATAGGAATGGCCGACAACGCTCTCTGTGATGCCTGTCATTGCGAAGAGACGCTACACCACATCCTGTACGACTGTCCGTCGTATGACATCCGGAAACAGTCACTGGCGTCCGTTCTTGCGCGCATCGACAACAGCCAAATGTCCGTGGACGCTAGTCTGTCAAGTGCCCGAGAGAAGGCATTGCAATAGAAGGCAACAAAAGCTCTGTTGAAATTCCTACGCGACACGGACTTGAACAAGCGGCTGTAACAGCAATGTCACAAACCGCGAAAGACAAGACTGGACTATGACTGAGTGTGCGCGCGTGTGCTGCCGAATGTGATGTGTTTATCTCTCTTCCCTCTCTGCTCTCTAGCTTTCATCTCCGCCATCCTCCTCCCATGCGCAGGGTAGCGAACCGGCTGCCTATAGGCTGCTTAACCTCCCTGCCGTTCTTTTCCTCCTATTTTCCTTCTTCCTTCTTCTTGGCTAAGAAAATGCGCAGCCGAAAAAAAAAAAAGCTTTGTGAATTCGGCCCTTGAACTTTATGTATGCCTATTTTTAAGGGGAAAAGTAAAAAAAAAACGTGCAGACTAGAAAAGAAGAAGAGACGGTAAGTCTGTCCAATTTTCTTTTTTGGCTAATTTACTCTCCGTTTTTCTTTCCATGTCGACATATTTCTCTTCTTTTTTCGAGCACGAAAATGTTTCCCGCTGGGGTCGACAACGCTCCACTGACGTACTTCTGTCACGGAAGTGACGTTGAAAAATATCTTAAGAAATTGTGAAAAAAAAACAGAAGGCGAGCATTCGTCGCACCGAATCGAGCCTGCCAGCTCTCGTTTGCCAGCGCGTAGCACTAACCAATACGTTACGGAGTGTACGCTGTTTGGACTATTAACGGCAAGCCATTTATATACGCCATACACCGTTTTGGCAGTAGGCAGAGCTTCGACACTTGAGCGCGTTTTTGTTATCAGTGGCTAGATGGCGCGACGGGCTCGCGTTGGCCGCGCGCTCTAAAGGTCGTCGCCTCATCGAAGCGCCACCTCCGCGGTGCGTGGTCTCTCCCGCGCGCGCGATAATCAGATTCGTAATTTGCGAGAGGACGAAGGTCTATTCGCACGCAGCACTGCCGCGTTTACGAAAGGAGCGCGCTGCGGACACACGACGCAAGATGAATTGTGACAGTTGTTCGGGCTTGTCGTGTGTATTTTTGTGCACTGATTTCGTGCGTCTTTCTGTATTATTAGCGCACTTTAAGTGCCACGCTTTGATAGTTGTCAGTCCGCGCTTGTTCATCGTATGCTAATTTCGTGCGTGCTTTCTGCTTTAGGTGTGCGCTTCAAGTTTCGATCTGCTACAGTTCTTAACATCGCTTTGCAATTTGTTTCTGCTCCTGAAATAATGCACAATAAACGGTCAACCACCTCTGTAAAATTATTTTTGACTGGTGTTTAACCGATTTCTATATAGGGGGATCAGACACGTTTTTTTCTATTTTGCTTAAGCGCTGGAAATTCACGAATGAATATCATAGAGCAACGGGGGGGGGGGGGGGGGGGTAACTGGTAACTCTTGAAATTTGTACACCGAATATTGTGGCGTCATTATTATTTTCGTCATCCGAGGCCAGCGTATGAAAAACAAACTGAATTTTCAACTGTTCTTGCTCGCCTCCAGGCGGACGCTCACGGTCGGATTTGTCCGATGCTGACAGCGACGGTGCCGCGAAGCGGAGACGCATCGTGTCTCCACTTCGCGCTTTCGAACTCTCTGTCATGTCTCATACTTAATCATTTTCTCTCGCGGAGGTCTTCTGCCTCATGCCGCGGTTGAATGCAGCAGGCACATAATTCAGTAATGTGGTCTCTGCCTCTCTCTCTTCTTCAAATAGTGAAAACCTGCTAACAGTAGCATAAAAAAGTAAATAAACTAAGATAAATCATGCATTTTATTATAGGCTTAGTTAGATATTTGTGAAACCTATGGAGTGCCATTCTCGTAATTTCAAATAAGCAAAAATTTCCAAAAATAAACAAATTGAACTATTGCTCTTACGGTGGGTCCTCACTTGTTCATTTTTCTTTTTCACAAAATGTAACCACAACGTAAATGTCACCACTTGTATAATGATATCCATTAGTACTATGTCTGCGACGTTAAAGTACGGCCAATTTTTTTTGTCATGCATGTGTAACGACCATTAAGGTCATTCCGGAAGTATGTATAAGTTATTAAATATTTTAAGGGCCCACGGGATACAAAATTAATTTTAATTACTTATCAACGCAAAGCTTGAAGCGCGAAGCAAGCAGTATTCAGGAAAGCTGACGATGCATATGTGGGTAGTTATGATAGATGCTATATTTAAAAGTTTGGTTTGATGTTTTATATTTTTAAATCAATAATTTAAGGCATGCGTAAATACCAAAACTACTAATTAACAAAAATAATAGCCAAACATTTATTCAGCGTATATATTTTGGCCGTACATGTCAAAATTTTAATATCCACGCTAATTTCTGGCCATGGCAGGAAAAAAATGAAGGCCGTTTAAGTTTTGCCTCTTAAGTTAGAACGCGTTAGCGAAGCTTGCCGCTTTTCACATCCTCTACTCAATCGCTAGCCTGCCTTTGCTATCCTATCCTACAATGACCACGGCAAGTAAAGTCGCTTGCTTTCTTGCTAGCTTGCTTGCTCCTCTGTTCTGGCTCTTACCCATTAAAGGGGAATGGTTCAGAAGCCGGTGGTTAATGTAAAAGGGAAATTAAGGTCTATACTTTGTTTGTTGCGAAGTGCCTATAATTGAATGAAGAAATATGGTGCATACGCCCCAAATATTACTCATGCAAATAAGCAATGTAACCACTACACATACGTAAGGCAACGCGTGCTATTACGTAGCTCTGAACTTTATCGATGCTGTTGCTAATACTCATGAGTAATTATGCCAGTAAGCTTTGTAATTCCTCAACCTTCAATTCAACCACTAGTTGTGTAATTCAGTTTGACATATAGGGTGTCATTCTACACTACTCCTACGCATTATTACATGTGTTAGGGAGAATGGTCACACTGCATGACATTCTCATTCGGTTTCATTTTCCATACAGTTTCAAGCACCAGCTTGTTTCTGTGGTAGTTCATTTGATCATCATGCCGAATTTCTGGATTCAACCCCTGTTTGGACAAAAGTTTATTATTCATTTTTGTGTTCACAGCTATATATCTAGAATTTTCGTTCTAGGGTAACGTTGACTTCCCTCTTACAACGAACGACGCCGGTGCCAAAACCGTATACTTTCTGCGAAACTAGCTCTTTAAATCTCTCGGGTGGAAACGTTTTGTTCTGACCACAACCATCTGTCGCTTTCGATCAGGTATGGTAATCTAGGAATGAAGTACAGTTATTTACACGTAATTACTGGGCCTGGCTAGATGCACTCTCACGGGAAATTCAAGAGCTAACCACATCGGATCATTTTGGCTCTCTTGTCAATCTAAAGAGCATAATCTTTCTCATATTTATACTATTTTCTTCAACCATTGCACTTTGTCGGCGATGGTCCTCAATAATTTGATGCTAGCCTTCCACATTCTAATAGCTTGAATGTTTCTTCTGAGCATGTAGTGACTGTCCTAAAAAATTATATAGTCTTGGCTATCCCTTCTCTTGGTCAGCATTTTTCCTGTTTTTTTAGGTAGAAATATGAATTCCCCGAAATCTCCACAAGTATTGTTTTTGTTCCAGTTCTTTGTTTTCTTCCACATGAGCCAGCGGCTTCATTGAGTCGACAAGGTACAATGTGCATATAGAAGTATTAGTTGTGGTATTCACAAATGCGTAAATTCTTGTGGAGTCTTGTATGGACGCTTAATGATAACCTGTTTTTTCTAATTCATCAAAGCTAAACGAAGCCGTTGAATGCATGCACATGTCATATTTCTCAGTTGTTTGATTGGATTATAGAATAATCATGCGTGAATTCAGCCCATTCTGTGGGTTCATTCATTTGTCGTATTGTGCTCACGCTACTGATATATTACCTTGGTACATATTTTTTTTAATAAGGAATGTGGTGAAATACGTGTTAGGATTATTAACTTTTTTAGGTAACTAAGCACATGGGTAACTTGTAACACACCAAACGAGAAACAAGTGAGGCAGAAGTTTAGGAAACTCACTCTCATCATGGCCGCCACTGGTTGCTGCCTTGACGGAAGAAAACGTTAGGTATAGTGAAAGCCCTTTTTAAAGAATTTCGCACAAAAACGAACCGAACGTTTACTGTGATGCTTACTTTTATGTCTCAAGACAGGCTTACGAAGTAATCTGTCGACTTTAAGGGTTCGCACGTGTCCAAGCTCCTGCTGAGTGTCCCTTTAGGTTGATGAATAACTGCTTCGAAATAGGTTTAACAACAATTACTCAAGCCTCGTGGCCTAGTTTTCAGTATCTTAAACGTGATAGGCACGAAGGAAGGCCGAAACTAAAGGTGCTTGAATATTTTTCTAAAGGGCAAATTGTGACTCCCTAATTACTGTGGGACTCCCAAATAACAAAGAAAGAGAACCCAGCTGTAAGAGCTGTTTACCTTGGGCGAATAATGGCGTTAAAAGCATCTTAAACATTGTAATTACTTAGCACGCTGACCTTACAAGCAGTTATTTCGATAGAGTTATAACTTTCTCACGAATACCTCCTCCCCCACCCTCTTCTCCATTCTTAGTTACGTACACTGCAGCGTGGCCAGTGATATCTATTCTAACCACAATGCTTTATCATTTCAGTGACAAAGTAATTGCAATTTGTAATGAATGTGAATAAAGGTTTGAGGAGGAAATGGTGCAGGTGACTTACTACAAGCCACACTCTCTGGCGGACATCTAGCCGAAGGTACCCATAGATCAGAAGAGCCGGTGTCGAACACAACTCGGAAGGTCTGTGGTGGTGTTCCAATGCTTATGTTGCCGTAATATTGAGCCTGAAAAGGAACAAATAAAAATCAAATCCTTTCTTTGAAGTGGTATATCTCTATGAGTAAACAGAATTGAAAAATGCGCTTATTATTTCGTTTTTTTACCCTTTCCCATTTAGGACGGTTATTTATTTTATTAAAAGGACAGTTTGGCTTGCCAGTGAAAATACAGATTCAGATTTAGAGTTTTAATTGATACGAATACAAGAGTGTTACAAGCGTTTAGTATACAAAACATCTTTCATTTGGCAAACAGCACATAAAATAATCACCGTACAACAAAAAGTGCGCAAAAATACATGCGTTGATCCCACTCCACCCCACTTTTTTTTCCATTTTCTCTCCCTTGACTCAATTCTTTGACCGTTATTTCTTTGCGCTGTGTAACAGACGGAAAGTGTTCCTATTTTTTTAGCACTAGGACAAAATATTTTTCATCTGTACGAATGGTGGAATGCAACCTTTGAAAATATTGCTGTGTCCCCAAAGTTCAACCTTATCAGAGAACAGGCAGAATGCTTTATTTTTTTCCTTAAGCATGCATCGCTTGGGAAGTCTTCTTCGACAGTGCCTTATCTTAAAGAAACCGGATGCCTTTTGAAAAGCGCTTGACGGACCGTGCATATGCCTGTATTGCACGCTCCACATGATAATATTTGCAGACGCGTGAAGAATCTTTCGTTCTTCTTTTCCTCCAGAGGGCAATGCTTATGCAAGACATCTTACGCAAAAACCGTCAGAGAGCCTTAACCTCATACGATGTATGTTACGCATAACAGGCTATATTTTCCACACCGCGCTTATCTTCGCACCGCCCTCACACAGAAAAAAAAGGAGCGAAATACGTACTCTTTCGATCTATCAGTCTCAAAGAAAGCGCTAAAATTTGCACACTAAGAGTGAAATTGATTACCTCCGACACGTATTCTCGGAGATTTGCAATGGCGCAATCATTCCCAAGACTGGCATTATCTTTTCTGCTACGATGGCGATCATCATCATTTTCATCGTTCAGGCTAACTGCACGACGAAGCCTTTAGACGACGATTTTTCATTACCACTTTCTTGTGTTAGCCGACTCTATCTAACCCCTGCGAATGGCGTATCATTACATTTCCTAATCCTCTGCCAGCCTCCATTACGCCTATTTTCTCTCAGAGTTTACTCTTGTGTGCTAATGTAGCGCCAGTTATCTGTTTCGTGTATGGCACTATACCTGCCCCAACTTTACTTCTTGGTTTTAAACTCAAATGAAATATCGCTTGAGCGATGGCTCTACTGCTACTTCCCCAGTGTTTTTGTACAATAAATTTTTGGTACATCATGCTACTCGTTGCACAATCCGCGATTTTGCAGTTTTTTTTGTACCTCTCTCTTCGTATTTTGAGTGGGAAAATACAATGGGTACCTCCTTGTTGCATACTTTTGTTTTTCTGTAATGTATGTGACTTGCCGTTCATTACATAAGATGCGTATTTCCTTCCATAGTTAGGTTCTATTATTACCCCACAGGTCGATAGATAGAATCCCGGCTGCATTTTTGATGGAGGGAAAAATGCTCTAGGCCTGTGTGCTCAGATTTGAGTGTATGGTAAAGAACCCCAGGTGGCCGAAATTTCTGGAGCCCTCTGTTACGGCGTCTTTCATAATGATATGGTGATTTAGGCACGTTCAATCTCACATATCAAACAATCAAGCATTCAATCAAGTTCTATATTACTATATTATCTAAGAAAAACTCCTCCTGGGCAGTTTCTAGATACTAAAATGCAGTAATGAACTCTTTTCTTTGTGGTGTGTCTGTTGAGTCTCCTTTCCGTCCTAATGTATAAACATACCAACACATCTTGCCGTTTCTAGAGGTAACTCATTTATTTGTAAATTACATGCAGCATTTCTTGCGTATTTTCTATGAATCCATCCAGCTAGTCATCAGCATTTTGAAGTTTTCAAAACTTCTTGCAACTATTCACGTTTTATGCAAATAATTAACTCACAACTACATTGCGTTGCCTTCATTCATTCGTATGATATTTTCTGTTGTTGTTTTTCATCTAAACAATTTTCAATAATGCACCTTCCAGCATTTTAAACAATATACACATACTTTTCATCTACTCGGCAACTGCCTATTGCTTCTAGTAACTGATTCTAAACGTTTAGTCGAATGTAACCCTTTTTGTATTAGAATTTCTGCCACATCCACGTCACAGATATTATCTGTTGATGAATATCCCTGTCTAACGTAGCCTGTCAATTTTGCCGATTTGATTCAAGTGCTATAGCCTTGACCTTTATAGAATCCTCAAAAGCAGTATTACGTAGCAAGGATTGGTATTTAATAGGTCATTATAACCTACGCATTTTAAGATGTCCAAATTGCTTAATTATATGTATTTCGATAATCTATAGCAACTAAAATATATTTGTTCCCAAAATCATCATATGAACTGGCGAACCACCGTCTGAACACCCTTGTCTGATCAAAAAGAAAAGAAATTGTTGCCTCTCAATATTAATAATAATTCTTCGTATTAAAACGCATGATATATAATAGCATGCCGTAGAAGGTGACTCCGAAATTGTTTTACCAATGTCAGCCTGTTGGCACCAGTTTAATTCCAAGGCCTGAATAAGGCAGCTGACCTGCAGCTGCTATCTGGATTTAGTAGCAATGATGCCAGGCTGTTAAGCATGAGGTATTCTATTTTCTTCGGTTTAACGTCCGAAAACCACGATATGATTTTGAGAGACACCATAGAGGGGGACTCCGGAAATTTCGACCACCTGCGGTTTTTTTAACGTGCACCTAAATCATCAGCACGAAGGTGTGGGTTCGTTTCCTAGACATGACGGTCATTTTTCTTTGGGGTAGAGTGCAATAACACCCATGTAACTTAGAGGTGCTATAAGAACTCCGACTGGTATGAATTATATAATGTACCACGCAAGAAATGTCGCACAGAAACAATGCTGATACGTATGTAACAAAAATTGTATATATATCCTAACCAAGTTCGTAGGTATATCTAGGTTCTTTACCAACAGTGCAGGTCAGGAAGACTTTGATCGGAGCAAGCTGGTTCTTAGCACTAGGAAGGCATAACGTAACTAAGACAAGTGAAGAAGAACACAGACCACATACCAGCGCTGTCTTCCAACTGATTATATTTTGCATTAAGATAACGTTACATATGCGCATGAACTTCATATATGGCACATCATGTAGCCAAACAAAACTGATCGTGCGTGCTTTATTACCCAAGATGCAACAAGATGACTTTTTTTTCTTTTCAAAAGCCATATGACAAAGGTAAAAAGATAACAGAACCCAAGAATGCGCGCTCACGAATGCCTTTATCTGTGCAATTTAAAAACCGTCATTGGTCTTGGTAAATGGTTTGTGATAAAAAAAAAAAGAAAACGAAGGGGGTGGAGAAAGAGGAGAAAAAGTCACGTGATTGATGTACTTTGCTTGATAACCACGTACAACCATCTCTGTATTACTACTGATGTGCCATTTCAATTCAATTCAATTCAGTTTATTCAACATCTGAGAAATGTTTGGTGCACGGACAAAAAGCCTGCGAAGGCTTGACTAGATCCGTGCACCACACTGGGGCATACAGTGGTGTGGATTACAACAACAATAAAGGTATAACGCAACACATGAAAAGAAAGAAAACGCACATTTGGGAAGTTCATGTGCATGTATAGGGTTATCTTGGTGCAAAATCAGTCCAGTTGTAAGACAGGGCTCGCATAGGCATTGTGTTCTTTGTCCCTTATCTCAGTTGCTCTGTGCCGTCCTACTGAGTAGAAGTCACATATGAAAAATGCAAAAACAAAGAAACAACGAACATGAAAGATGCGTTGAAGCACAGCAGGCATTCTCAGGTCAAGAATGATAATAAATGCGTATTACCAAAGAAAAAAGTTCAGTGCTTGATTTTTTTTGTTAACGTATTGCGTGGAAACATGGAGAATGAGAGAGTATACAGAGAGAAAGTGTAGGACTACGCAGCGTGTGATGAAACGAAAAATGGCAGGCGTTACTTTAGGCGACCAGAAGACAGCTGATCTAAAAACAAGAAAGGCGTAGCTGACACTGTAGTTGACTTCAATTGAAAAAGTGCAGGCTTTGGTATGTCCAGAACGGTTGGTTATTTAGACCAACAGAATGGCCACGAAGAGACGGGAGATGAAGCAGGGAACGGCATAGGGCTAGGTGGGTTAAAGTAACTAAGAAAAAAGTCACAGTTTCGCCACAAGGGTGAAGAAATGAATGCGATAGCAACAACTTGGAATGTAACGCTGAAACCGGCTAGCAGGTCGAAACGTGCTGCGCGCTACGCCCCGCCGCGGTGGTCTAGTGGCTAAGGTGCTCGGCTGCTGACCCGCAGGGCGCGGGTTCGAATCCCGGCTGCGGCGGCTGCATTTCCGATGAAGGCGGAAATGTTGTAGGCCCGTGTGCTCAGATTTGGGTGCACGTTAAAGAACCCCAGGTGGTCTAAATTTCCGGAGCCCTCCACTACGGCGTCTCTCATAATCATATGGTGGTTTTGGGACGTTAAACCCCACATATCTATCTATCTATCTTGCTGCGCGCTGTTCACGCACACATGACGCATGAAAAGAACACACGCAGGACGAGAGCGAATGAACAACATTTACCACTCGACACGTAACGCGCCGTTTAAACAAAAACGACGCACTAAACGTAACCACGGATACAGATGAGTACGAACAAGTGTCCCAGTTATTACTTCACTGTGTTTTGAAAAGCACGCTCTTTTCGCAGTCGGGACCACTCCAGCGAGGGAATTGATCTTTGTGCAGCCGGCAACTAAACGCAATCGTTCCAGTCAAAGTACAAGGTGCA